CTGGATTACCAAGCGCGGCTCCTCACAACGTCTTAGAACTTACTGACACCTGCTGGACGGTTTCCTCCTTTCTGGAAAGCAACTGAGCCAGAAGCCTTTACTCTACCCATGAGGTGGGAGCCAGGACATCGGCTTTTGCACTGGGATGGGAATGGAGAAGTTTCCCTGCCCTGCTGGGTGCTGCCTGCTCATGAAAATGTGCCTCTTCCCCACAGAGAACAGACTTGAGAATCCCCAGCCAACTGCGAAGACAGAGGCCAGGAGAAATGCAAGCAGGAACGCCAGGCAGAGCAGTTCCAGGTCGAAAGGTTGGCATTGATGAGGATGGTCAAATTCCTAGAATCCTGTATTTTTTTTTTCTCCTGGAGAGACTGAGCATAAAGCTGGCTTGAAAAATATCCACTTCAGTCTGGGCGTGGTGGCTCACGCCTGTAATCCTAGCGCTCTGGGAGGCCAAGGCAGGAGGATCTCTTGAGGTCAGGAGTTCGAGACCAGCCTGAGCAAGAGCGAGACCCCCGTCTCTACCAAAAATAGAAAAAAGTATGGTGGCGCATACCTGTAGTCCCAGCGACTCGGGAGGCTGAGGCAAGAGGATTGCTTGAGCCCAGGAGTTTGAGGTTGCTGTGAGCTAGGCTTACGCCACGGCACTCTAGCCCAGGCAATGTAGTGAGACTCTGTCTCAAAAAAAAGAAAAGAAAAGAAGAAAAAAAGATTAGAAAAAGAAAAACATCCACTTCAGAGTATGGAGCCTTGTCCTGGATTCCAAGTCCCCAGAGCCTGGAGACGCTGCCTGGCTGGGTCTGCGTTGGCACAGGCTAAATCTTGAAAGAAGAAAAGGTGGTTCTTGGTATGCTTTGCTGTCTCAATTCAAAATATTTTGTTGTTTTTGGCTGTCTTCTCTGGTTCCTAACACTTTCCAGACAATGCACTCCTCTTAGCAGGTTAGAATGAGCCAGTAGACTAATTCATTGCACCCTGGTGAAATTACATTTTAAAAGAGAACCTCGAGTGGGATTTATACTAAAATCCAGTGAATCTGTCCTCTTGGTAACTCTTTCTTTTTTTTTTTTTTTGAGATAGAGTCTTGCTCTGTTGCCCCAGGTAGAGTGCAGTGGCATCACTGTAACTTACTGCAACCTCAAACTTCTGTGCTCAAGTGATCCTCCTGCCTCAGCCTCCCGAGTAGCTGGGACTATAGGCATGTGCCATGATGCCTGGCTAATGTTTCTATTTTTGTAGAGACAGGGTCTCACTCTTGCTCAGGCTGGTCTCAAACTGCTAAACTCAAATGATCCTCCCACCACGGCCTTCCAGAGTGCTAGGATCACAGGTGTGAGCCACTGCGCCCGGCCTCTAACGGTAATATATTAAACCTGAGAATAGGCTAATATGGGAGCTGCTTGCACAGGGAGCTTTGGGGGCCCCTTAAATTATGACGTGCGGGGCAGCTGTCTGCAGGCAGATCTTGTACAGAGCAAGCTGCTCATTGCTGCCATCTTGCCCTAGGAATGGCCCTGCCCAGAGACCAGCTGCTGGACTGCCCACTGCCCAGCCTCCTCTGCTTTCCTCCAGGAAAAGGCCTCCCAGCCGACCGGCTGGCTGCTCACAGGCTCTCTGAAGATCTCTTCTAGAACAGCTGCTCTTCAGCACTCCCGGTCTGAACCACCCATCCCATCCGGGGTCACAGGGGCAACCCTGATCTTGTCACAATTTCCCTCCCAAGGAGCCCAGCTAACTGCAGCAGGAGGGCGAACAGCGAGTGTGCGAGAGAGCGTGTGTGAGCAGGCCGAGGAGGGGCGGCCAAGAGGCCAGAGCCGGCCAGTGGCCAGTGCTGCGCAGAGACGCCCCCCTCCCCCAGTGGAGCCACACCCCTCCCTGCCGGAACACAGCCCACCCGGGCCACCCTCAGACACCAAACACCTCCACTTCAGGCAAGAAATACCGACCTCAAAGGCCCCCCACCTTGGGGGCCCCGTCCCATCCCCAAAACGCTTCAGGCCAGCATGAAGGGAGAACTCTGAAATTTGAGTTCTAATAGCTGGGTGTTGCCTACACTGGCTGTTCCAAATGACCTCTGGCCTCCTGGGGGTAATTACACAGCAGGCTTTGCGGGTTTCGGGGTGGGTAGGCTGACATTGGCAAACCGAAAAGAATGTACTATTTCCCTTAAAAGCCTGTTCGGGCCAGAGCCTGCCGTGATGAAAGAGGTCAGGAAAATGCCAGGATGTTACTTGCTTTCTACCCTAACATTTGGCCTCTCTGAGGCTCTGCACAAAGAAACCCACGCTGCCCGTCAGATAGGAAAAGCAGTGCTATTTAGCAACTCCAAAACCAGTAGAGGATTTACTCCAGTAACCTAGAATTCGAGGATTTCCAGAATCTGGCCTTTATAGTAATCTCTAATCTCTCTGAGCCCTCCCCCCATGCACCCTTCTCTCTGTCCTGGGCATGTACTCCGTGTTCTAGCACAATCCTCTGTTCACAGTAGCCCTGACTGCAGCCCTGGAGTCTCCCCCTCTGTTGTCCTCAGTCCCTTGTGATGTTTCAGCACCTCCCCCGTGTCCCCACCTGCATTCCCCCACCTCCGCCCCCGTTCTACGTCATGTACTTCCTTGGGTAGTTGCTTATGTTCCTACTTGGGCATCCTTTCTCGGAAGACAGGAGGCCCCTCAGGGGCAGGTGCCCGGCCATACACCTATTCGAATCCCCACTTCCAACCCAGAGCCTTTCGCCACAAGTGAGCCCAGGGAGGAGTCCCCCTCATGGCATCCCTGAAAGATGCTCACCCAGGCTCTCCACGGACATTTCTGGTGACTGGATGCCCAGGACATCCCAGCCCACCCCAATATTAAATCATTCTACATTTTATTAAGTTCTTTGTTTCTGCTTAGCCCACATCAGCAATATCTGGTCCCAATTCTGCATTACAAGCAGCTTTGAGTTTTCAATTTTTGTTAGGATTCTCTTCTCCAGACCAGACATGGCCAGTTCTTTCGCTTGTTTTTCATTTATTGTGGTTGTCAGATCCCGTACCATCCAGGTATCTCTCTCCTGGGAACTTTCCAGTTGCCAGTATCTCTCGTGGAAGGCCCTGAGCACCATACTCGGCTGTGTGAAGATGAGCACTCTGAGTGACATGGGCAAAGCCAAGGCAGAGGACACTCGAGAGAGAATTTTTTTTTTTTTTTGGTGACAATTGTGATGGTCATAATCATGACTGAATTCCAACGATCATTGCTTAACACAGGAGGAAATTGCTTTTCAAAGAAACAAAGCTAGTAGTATTTAATGAACCAATGGATTCCAGTTTTAAAAAAGAAACCCAAAGTGCAGGAATTGGAATCACTCGGATTGTGGCAGACATGGACTCTACTTCCTTGGTTTTATCTCATAGCCCTCTGAGGGTAGGGTTGTGGTTTGAGTGAGTTTTACCAAGAAGTCCACATAACCGATTAGCCAGTTTTCAGGTGTAACCAACCAGAAAGATAAGTACAGCGAGTTGGAGGATGAAGGGTGTCTAAGCTGTAAGTCTCCCAAACTGACTACAGATCCGTGTTAGGAAAGAGCTGGTTCCATGCAGTAGCCTCAGTGGTCCTGGAGATGTCCTAAAGCCCAGGCCGCCCCCATCTCTGCATTTCTTTCTCTTACCTAGGCCTGCTCCCAGGGCCTTAGATCTTTCTAGTGCTTCAAAGGGCCTGACAAAGGGAATGGAGTCATAAATTTAAGAAGAAGACAAGAACAGATGATTTCCTTTTCCCCAAGCCCCTCAACATGCCAAGCAACACCTTACATGGGTTTAGGGTTCAGGAGGCGAGGTTATTCTTTGGTTCTTGATGTCCTCTTATGTAGCTATCTAACCCTAGGTAAATGAATCCTCCCCGGCCCTCAGTTGGCTTCCCATCCTACAGTCCATGAAACTAAAATCCACAACTAATGGAAGAGAGAGGCCTGGTTTCCTTTTGTCACGAAAGTGTAAGAAATACAGGATTTCCCTAATCGCTCCAGCCCTCACTGATCTTTTGTTTCCTTTTAATTGTTAGGTGTTTGTTTTCTGTAACATTTATTTTATTTTAACCTTTTGCTCTCCTTTTACTTTTTCTTTGCTGAGCTGAAAGGGGTAGTCAGCTCTAGAAGGACACACATCAAACTCCCTTGGAAAGTTGAAGGGACTTGTTTAAAGTTGCAGAGGTGGTCAGTACAAGAGGACAGTTAACTACCCCAACTAGATGCAGAGCTTCTGGGAGGTCAGAGGAGAACAGGCTGACAGAGCCTTCTTCCCAGATCCACCCCATGGCTTGCTTTTAATAATATACCCCCAAGAAGCCCCCGTCGCCTAATGGATAAGGCATTGGCCTCCTAAAAATATACCCCAGGCCACCTGAATATCAAACTAGCTGAGGTCGTGGGTCTAGGACTGCAGGCTGCTTAGGGAAGTGTGACGGACAGGAACTGCCCCTGGGCCATTCAGTGAGCCTGGCTGTCCCCACGTAGCTTTAGGATCTGCTCATACTCATCATCTCTTAACCCGTGTGTGTGTGTGCTGATGCTTTGAAAGACAGCAGCTAGGCTCAGGTTAAGCAAGACCCAGCTCATAGGCTCAACGCCCTGCTCTGTTACCTGGAGTCCTGAAGAATTTTCTACCCATAGGAAGCTCGGGGGACCCTTATTCTCCCAGCCTTGACCCAAGGAGCCTGCTGTTACAAACCCACACTGAACAGAATCTGTATGGCGATAACAACATATACCCAGATAGAAGATGACCCCACATACCAAGTGACTCCCTGGGAGAGCAACCAAAGGAAAAAGGTTTTGGCCAATTTGAATATATAAATTTTTAGGGATATGAATGAAATATTCAAGTGCCTACTCATAATATTTAATTTTTTAGTTAAATTATATATTGATATTGAAAATCATGTATTACGTAAAATACTTAAAAAACTTTTTCTACTCTCATATTTCAGAATTATTTTATTTATTCTCCAAATATATTTTCCATCTTCATTGTCTCTTTCATCACAATGGCCAATTTTTTTGAACTTTTATCAAGTTGTCCAGAGCATCTTCACTCTTCAGTTGTTCGACACACAGCACTTTTTGAAATCATAAACTCTCATAGCAGTAGAGTTTCCGTTCATCCTACAAAATGACAATACAACTGCTTTCCTGAAGTTTGACAGAATACCCTAAGGAATAATTGCTGAATCTGTGTCAAATTTCTATGTCTCCTTTTTAAAGCTAATCTTCATTGGTTGCTCTACATGAAAATGTAAAACTAGCAGTGATTGGATCATTTCAGGAAACATATCTTTTCTAAAGAGTGTTTTGTTATTGTTGTTTTGTTTTTTTTTTAAAAAAGGACCTTGGAATGACCTAGAATATAAGAAACTCCATGAGGACTTGAATAATATTGCTATTTATATCTGTACCTATTTTTGTATCTATGTCTCCTTTTTGTGAAAGGTTTTTGAAGAAAAAGCTTGCCATACAGATAAGGAGGCCCCAGATTACATGTTTTCTGGAGTAATTATTAATATTAATTGTGCCTCTTTTTAGTCTCAAAAGCGTCCCCATTTGGACAATAAATTATATGGTCGCTGTACTTGCAGCAAGGAGTATCCCACACACTGTGATTCTGTGGCCTTGTCGAGGCTTTCAACATATTGGCTGTTCAGCAAGTTTCCTGTGAGGCCGGTATCTCCATGGCAGCCAGATGGAACTCAAAGCCACAGTAGCTGGAAATTATAGCAATGCAGCTAATTACCTAAAGTGATATTATAATAAAATGTCTAAGATTCTGGAAATGTGACTACCAGTCAACACAGCATCTGCTTCAAAGGAAACATTATTTTCTTAAGCAATCATTATTTTAAAAAAAAAATCTAATTACAAGTAACTCAGGTAAGAAGTGCTCCTTTGATCTGAGAGCAGTGCATTTAGTTTATTACTCGTTTAAACTAAATATTTAGTTTAATATCCCTAAATATTTGGAAAGAAATTGTCTTTGTTACTTACTCTACGGTTGAACCATTTGCAATGATGTCTTGTTTAAGATAAACTTTATTTCCTATTGACTTTCTTGCAAGTGAGAGTGCTGTGCAGGAGGAGGGTGGGTGAGCGGGTATGGGCCTCTGAGCGCGCTGGGCTGGCCCAGCCCCTGGCGAGCCTTCCTGGCGCTCCTAGGGTGGCCTGACTCTCGCACCACGCAGGGACCAAACCGGAGATGGACACATCCATGCACACCCACCCCCACTCCGCAGAAGACCACTCTGAGCACCTCCGCCCCTCCTGTGGGTCAGAAACCTCATCTTCAAACATGAAACCTACCCTGCAAGGCAAAAATAAGCAAAAACATCCAAAAGTTGCTTCTTAAAACTAACCCCCTCTACACTTCTCCATTCCTGGCCCTAAGAGTCGACTGTGTGGGCGCAAATCCGTCAGCCCAGGTCAGCGAGACACAGACCCTAAAGACAAGGCAATTATCACACTCGATGTGGAATATGGTTTTAATTTAGAGGCTCATTAAGTAGACAGCTTGCCTGCGCGTGTCCTGCTATATTTCACGTCGCACATGGCCCGGCAGTCCCATGGCAGTCGGAGGGTCTGAGCCCTCTCTGTGTGTCCGGCTCTGGGCAGCCCGTCTGCCTGGAGCCACAGGTAATGCCATGAAGAAAGGATCTGACCAAGGGGACGATCTATGAAGTGTCCCTTCTCTTCAGCCATATAAGCGTCTCCTCCGACCCAGCGGCACATAGAAGGTCCCCATGGATTATGGTTCTAGAGAAACGGTTACTCTTGCCTAGGGAACATCAGTCCTGCACTCTGCCCAAGCTCTGTCTGATTTTCCCTGCAGTGAGCTGGCCTGAACAGAGAACAGCCAAAGGACAGCTGTCCCTCAAAACAACCAGGACCTTGAGGCCTTTGCCAAGGCCCCATGCTGTCCTACTTTCTCCTGGAGAGCTGAAGGCATGTTTCTAGAAACAAGGGCAATGCCCCTGGAATTTGCAACCCTGGATGCTATTCTGTGAAGATAAGAGAAGGGGAGAGAAGAGAAATGTCTCGGGGATCTCTCCCACACTCCCCAAATCTCTAAGAAACCAGGCCCCCTCAGCTCTGCTGTCACTCACTCTTCTTGACAAGAGCCTTCCCCCTCCTACCACTCCCTATCCAGACAGAGAGCACGACCGGAAAATCAAGGAGGAAAGGCAGAGAGGAAGGCCTCAGCTGTGGTGTTGTCGTGCTTCCTTGCCATCTTTAGCGATGTCCTCGTGCCTTGCAGGGTCTCTTCTTCCAGAGGAAGCTGAAACGAGAGGGTGGGATGTGAGGCCAAGTTCCCCAAGTGCCCTTGGGAAATAAGGATGGATTTTTACCTCTCCACACCCTCTTCTACTGACCCCTCTGGAAACATTCTCCCTGCATTCAAGCAAATCAGGGGACACCTATAGTGTGAAGGAGGCTCTGGCCAGGGCTTGCTCTCTGCACTGAGTGTGCACAGATGTGTATATGTATGGCCCCAGGCCCACTAAGTGACCAGCAACCCTGTCCCCAGCACTCTCTGCTGGTCTGAGGCCCTTGCTATATTTTGCAGCCTCTCCTTATGGAAGGCTGCCCTTGGCCTCACTGTAAACCCCAACCACTGGCTGCTCTGTCCTTGAGGTCACAGGCCTGCCGTGACCTTGCTGATGGTTTGGCCTCCCGGAAATTCAAGGCTGTACTGCTTGGCTTGAAGTCGAGTTGGGGTGAGTCCCCAAGGCCCGCTGCTTCCAGCCCATGTGGCTTCCCTCACCTGCTGGTGACCTCCCTGCCGGCCTGCAGGGCAATCAGGGTCATGTGTGCCAGGCACGTACACTTGCCGGGAGTAAAGGCTCAGGTCTGCGCCAGCCATGCTGCAGCTCTGCTGTCATTTTTGGTCCACAGCTGCCCGGTGTCATTACATTTATCCAGAGCTTTGTTTCCCCCCTGTGTTTCTTTTTCATTTTCTGATCCTAACTGTATACCAAGAAAAAGGACATTTTACCAGATGACAATTTTTCTATTTTCTAATGACCGAATTGTACCTGCTAATTCTCCAAAAAGCCAACTTTTCAGAACACTTTTAAAACACTATTTTTGAGTGACATTTTTCATTTTGCGAAGACTACATATGGCCTTTGCTCAAACACATTTTTATCTTTTTTTTTTTTCTGGGGTCTGATGTGGAAATCTCACTAAATTCCTCCATCTAGCACATGGCAATATTTTATTGAAATGCGAATTTGAAGGCTGTCCTGTGAAAACTATTTCTTCTTGCATCTTTTTAAAATTAATGCTCACTTTTAAAACTAATGACGTAGTTAATATTGAAAATGAGCTACACCCAATGGTAACAGGCTGAGCTCTCCAAATTGATGCAGAAGGTCGCCACCTTGTGGCCACTGTGGAAACTGCCATGTAGAACTGGTTTTTCCTAGGGATTGGGGCCCAATTGCTAATTAAATTAAATGACTTCCAATATTGTCTGTTCCTGTGCAGCTCACATCCCAATCCTGCTCCTCCACAGGTCAATTTGTGGAGGTATCCTGGCCGTTGGGGGAAAAGGAAGCTGTTCTAAGTGGCCTCAGTGGTTTAGTTGAGAGAAGACTCTTTGGTCCTTAAGCTAAGTTTTAGTCAGGAGAAGAAACAACCTGTCAGCGAGCCCAGGTCTTTGTCTTACTCAAACCCTGTATGTTCTAATTCCTATGTTTTAAAAATGTGGAGCCCGCTGCGGTGGCTCACACCTGCAATCCCAGCTACTCATGAGACTGAGATAGGAAGATCACTTGAGCCCATGAGTTTGAGACCAGTCTGGGCAACATAGCAAGACCCCTGTTTCTTAAAAAATAAAAAATAAAAAAATTTTAAAGATACCACAAGATACCTATATCAGAATTCCTAAGAAAGATATTTCAAATGCAGATTTCTGAGGTTCCCCCCACCAAGACCTAAGAATTGGGATGTATAGGCATAGGTCCTGTGATTTGCACTTTTAACATTTCTCAAGTGATTTTTTGTTTGTTTGTTTTTGGACAGAGTCTCACTCTGTCACCCAAGGTGGAGTGCAATCATAGATTGCTTCAGTCTCAAACTCCTGGACTCAAGCAATCCTCCTGCCCCAGCCTCCTGAGTAGCTGGAACTATAGGCACCCACTACCATACCTGGCTAATTTTTTTTTTCTTTTTTTTTTTTTGAGACAGAGTCTCGCTTTGTTGCCCAGGCTAGAGTGAGTGCCGTGGTGTCAGCCTAGCTCACAGCAACCTCAAACTCCTGGGCTCAAGTGATCCTGCTGCCTCAGCCTCCCGAGTAGCGGGGACTACAGGCATGTGCCACCATGCCTGGCTAATTTTTTGTATATATATATTTTAGTTGTCCAATTAATTTCTTTCTATTTTTAGTAGAGACAGGGTCTTGCTCAGGCTGGTTTTGAACTCCTGACCTTGAGCAATCCGCCCGCCTCGGCCTCCCAGAGTGCTAGGATTACAGGCGTGAGCCACCGGGCCCGGCCTAATTTTTTAATTTTTTGTAGAGACAGGGTGTCACTATGTTGCTCAGGCTGGTCTCCAACTTCCAGCCTCTAGTGATCCTCCCACGTTGGCCTCCCAAAGTGCTGGAATTACAGGCATGAGTCACCATGCCCAGCCTCTCAGATGATTTTTTTAATGCACATTAAAGTTGTAACAATGCTGCATTTTAGGCTACAAAGGGAAGAAATTAGAGCTCTAATACGTTAGATGTATTTGACCCTCAGCAGTCTCCCCCAGGTCCTGTGAAGGCAGGCATCTGGAGCTGAAGAGAGCTCAAGAGACCAATGCAGCAATTCTCAAAAGCCCTTGCAACCCACATGTTTGCTGCTTGAACAAGGGAGACTCCATGCAAGACCTCAGTGACCTGTCAACTTTGGCCAAACCCTCAAAATAAGAAGCCCCCATCTACCGAGAGTGGCCCGCTTGTGCACAGCACCTCCCTCTGCCCTCCATAGGAAGCAGCAAAAGGCAATTAGAGGCCGGGCACGTGGGCTCACGCCTATAATCCTAGCACTCTGGGAGGCCTAGGCGGGTGGATCCTTTGAGCTCAGGAGTTCGAGACCAGCCTGAGCAAGAGTGAGACCCCCATCTCTACTAAAAATAAATTAGCCGGGCATGGTGGTCCATGTCTGTAGTCCCAGCTACTTGGGAGGCTGAGGCAGGAGGATTGCTTGAGCCTAGGAATTTGAGGTTGCTGTGAGCTAGGCTAACGCCATGGCACTCTAGCCTGGGCAACAGAGTGACACTCTGTCTCAAAAAAAAAGGGGGTGTGGGGAATTAGAGACAGAAGAAGAGACTCCCCAGCACGCTACCCAGTCCTCCCCGCCCTGTCCACCCCATCCCAGAATCTCCACATCCCAGGCCGCGGTAAAAGGCAGGAGAGCAGCTTCCAGGCCTGGCCCTCCCACTGGCCACACGTGTGGACTTGGGCAGGTCAGCGGCTTCAGGTGCCTTCACTGCAAAGGGAAGCGGTTGGGTCACTACTATCACTTAACTTCTTCTCCACTCTGACATTCTGTGATCTCATTTTGAGCTTTCAGAGGGAAAAGAGGCTTTTCATGAGAAGTGATTTTTTTAGAGTCCTATATTCCAACTTTATGTTTAAGCCTTTCCTGGTTGCAGTAAGTAATTCCTAGGGAGTGCCACAATGAGAGATGAGATCCTCTGTCAACATGAAAATGACAAACTTTGGCGATGTCAGCTCTCTGTATTGGGGGTGAAACAGCACTGGGCTGAGAGCCCTCCAAATCCCCCCAAACAACACCCCCATGGCATCACCACACACTCCCCACCCAGCGCCACTGTTCTCCAAAGACCTCAGTGCACCCCGTCATCACAAACCTCTCCCCGCAACCAGGCCTCTGGTCTCTGACCCGCTCCCAGCTGCAGCACTCCTCTTGGAGGGTGCTGAGATGCCTGCAGGAGATTGTCTAGATGGAGAATTCTCCCAGATCACCCTCTGTCCTTTCAAAGTCACTGTCCACTGTCACCAGGTGCCACTCGTTTGTAACTCCATCACTCCTCGTGCACACCCGGCTGGCTTCTTCAGTGTGACATTATAATCGTCTGTTTTTACGACCGTAGCCCTAGAAATAAGACCTGTGGCTGCCACGTATTGAATATTCAATAAATGTTTCCTTGAATGAATGACTCTGGGAATGAAAAAGATGAGTGAATAAATTGAGAAATTAAGGGAATGGAGGCTGACTGTTGTACAGAACCTCCACACTTCTTCTTCACACAAGCCTGGATGAGGAAATAAGGACCTAGGCCGGTCACTGGACTCTGGGCATTTTGGGGAGCAGCTGGGAATGGAAGCCGTGCCGAGGGAGAAGAAGCGTGGTGGCCGATCATAACACTGTTCACCAAAGTGCAGGTCAGTGAAATCAATTACTGGGTTGTGAAATAATTTAGTGGATTCAGATCGACATTTTTAAATGAAGTGGAACATAATTGAATACATTAGAAGACATGTCTCATAATAAGAGCGAGTACAATTTCATGGAACTTTTGTCATATATAATTGTGATGCAAAAATAGACTTCTTTACTACACATGGTGGTCAAAAGATTTGGAAGCCACTCATCAGGAAAAGCCATCCCTAAACACTTCATAGACTTCATTAAAAAGAAAAAAATCTTACTGACCTTACGGTATGGCTTCCACTTACCGGAATGTGGGGACCCATTTGTCAGTAAATGTATACAGATTCCATTTTTGAAATCAATATATTTTCTAATTACTAGAAATGATGATTATCTGATTTTACCTAACTCTAATTATGTTCAGAACCGGTAAAAACCCTTAATAGAGATGAAGAATTTAAGAATTTTTCACCAATATAGGGACTTTCTCTCTTGTTTTTTCTTTGATATCTTCCCACATGGTAACTGTCTATGTTGATAGCATAACACTAGCTCGCTCCTCTTTCCAACAAGGTGAAAAGGCCATTTTCTAAGAGTTATTAGAAAAGAAGTAGCCAGGAGCTGTGGCTCACACCTGTAATTCTAGCACTTTGGGAGGCTGAGGTGGAAGGATTGCTTGAGTTCAGGAGTTTGAAACCAGCCTGAGCAAGAGTGAGACCCCAACTCTACTAAAAATAGAAAAGTTAGCTAGGCATGGTGGTGTGCACCAGTAGTCCCAGCTATTCTGGAGGCTGAGACAGGAGGATTGCTTGATCCCAGGATTTTGAGGTTGCTGTGAGCTATGATGAAACCACTGCAATTCTACCCAGACAGAGTGAGAGTCTGTCTCACCAAAAAAAAAAAAAAAAAAAAAAAAGGAAAAGAAAAGAAGTGATGAATGAAAACAAATTAAAAATCTTAAATTCCAAAGCCAAACTTTAATAAGTCTATCTAAATATCTTCATAGGAAATCACAGGGGAAGGTGGGATGCTAAAATTAAAATCCCGAAGGAAGGAAATTAATGAGTGGCCTTGTTATGAACTTGAGTCCAAGCACGTAAGATACATATTTCTTGTCTGCCATGTTTTCATCCTTTTCCATTGGACAGATGCCATGATAGCCATGTGCTAGGCTTTCCCTGATTTGGCCATGACACTGTCCCTCATCTTATGTGTGACACCATATGGGATTGTCACACTTCCTTGTTTACTAAGAGTCCCTTGGATTCTTAATATGGAGTTTCAATATTAGACCAGCAGCCCAAACCCACAGATATGTGCTTAATAAAAAAACTTTACGTTAACACTTAAAAATAGGGCTGGGCATGGTGACTCATGCCTGTAATCCTAGCACTCTGGGAGGCCAAGGTGGGAGGATCACTTGAACTCTGGAGTTCCAGACCAGCCTGAGCAAGAGTGAGACCCTGTCTTTGCAAAAAATTTAAAAATTAGCTGGGCATGGTGGTGTGCACCTGTAGTCCCAGCTACTCAGGATGCTGGGGCAAGAGATGGCCTGAGCCTAGGAGTTTGATGTTGCAGTGAGCTATGATGCCACCACTGCACTCTAGCCGGCGTGACAGAGTGAAACTCTGTCTCAAAAAAAAAAAAAAAAAACCAGAAAACTTCCTTTAAAATTTAGGATTTTTGGCTTTTCTTGGAAAACAAAAATATTTAGCAGCACAAGACCCATAATACTGCACAGAGACAATAGTTCTTAACCTAGGTCTTTGGGACCCCTGTATTTTTTTATATAAAATTCCTTTGCAATCCTATGTATTTTATTTTATTTAAAAGCATCATCTTGAGAAAAGATGCACAGTCACCAGACTGCCAGAGCGGTCCGTGGCCCACAGAGGTTAAGAAACCCTAGTCTACAGCCAAGTAGCAACTGTCCCCTTTATTCCAAATTCTTATCTTTCTTTACTTTCTCTGAGGCCATGCATCTGCTTCCATTTGCCATTGCACTTATGCTCTTCTTAAGGTTGAGAAACATTTTTCTGTAATCATGTCTCTACTAAAAATTGGAAAAAGAAAAATGGACCAAGAGGGCCTTGGAATTTTTACATTAAGCTGCCGCACTTACTTATGCTATCTCGCTGGTCTCTGGTCTCCAGGGGTTGCGTTCGGCGTCCTTGAGCACCAGTCAGATGGTCGCCAGCCGTAAACAAACAACTCCGGAGCGCGGCGTGTCCACCTCAGTTCTGCGCCTGGAGGTTTTCTCATCTCTGCTTTTGTAGGTTTCTCCAGCTCTCCAAGGTCATCCGTGTGGCCTCGGTCCTTCCTCCTGGGATCCCAGGGAGTGTGAGCGGTGGGCTATTTAGAGTGCACTTGGGCCTATCCTGGGGAACTAAGAGAAGTCCAATTTCTCCCTTTCTGTTTCTCCTGTCAGCAAAGGAGCAGAGATGTCAGCTCCGTCCTGACGTCCAGTCTGTCATATGCTCGCACTTGATTCGCACGGTACAGTCTACAGAACTCTTTTTCTTGGTCCTCAGCTGAGGGATCCTCATACCAGCCCTTCTGAAGAAAGAACAGGAACAAAACCCCACTTTGCAACGAAGGACCACTGATGTTCAAAGAAAGTAAGCAGCAAAGCCCTAAGGATAAGAACACAGACCCGAATTTTAGTTCATTCAAACACTCTGAAAATGCTGGCTCCTCAAGAGAAGTGACTTTTGGGGAATTCCACAGCTAGTGTTTTAACAAGTGCTTTTTAATGCATTGATATTTTAATAGAGCAAGTCTGGACCATTCAAGTAAATCTAGTCTCTATTCAACGATCACCTTAGCCTTTGTGCTGTTAATAATTATAGAGAGAGATGGGGGGGGGGACTTGGATCTATAAGGAAGCTGGGCTTTTTTTTATGGCAATATAATGTTTTGTTTTATTTTATTTTTAAAAATTATAATACAGTGAAATTGACTCTTTTTCTCTTGTATAGTTCTACGAATTTGAACACTTTGTATGGATTTATGTAGCCACCTTCGGCATACAGACCCATCACTCCAAAAAACGCTTGCATGCTAGCCCTTTGAAATAGTCTCTTCAAAAATTATAGTGGTGTACACATAAATTGAAAGCTACAAGGATATTTGTAAAATAAATTATGCATCTTATTCATATGCTATTAAGATAGAATTTCCGTGTGTGTATATGTGTGTGTCAGAGGATTGTATTTCCTCCCACTTTGGAAGATAAAATTTGTTGAGTAATTACCTATACAGGTCCTCACTGCAGAGCCTTTTCAATAATTTTTTTAAAGCAATATGGTGGCATGACTGTTCTCAGACTGCGATGGCAGTCAGTAAAGGAAGCACAACCAGGCAGTGCCTACTGAGAGTGGGAATCTGAGCTTTCTCGACCCCACCAGCCGAGGGGCCTCCCGCCCCGCCCAACCCATCCCAGTCTGCAACTCCCTTGCCTAGTGTCAGAGGTGGCGTCTCTCCAGCTTCATCCTCTCTTCTCTCTGCTGCCTCAGTTCATATCCCACTGGCTTGTCCTCTCTTTGCCTTGTCTTTCCCTCTCTTCTCAGATCTTTGTGGTTTGTTTGTTTGTTTTGAGACAGAGTCTCACTCTGTCGCCCAGGCTAGAGAGCCATGGCATCAGCCTAGCTCACAGCAACCTCAAACTCCTGGGCTCAAGCGATTCTCCTGCCTCAGCCTCCCAAGTAGCTGGGAATAGAGGCACGCACCACCATGCCCGGCTAATTTTTTCTATATATTTTTAGTTGGCCAATTAATTTCTTTCTATTCTTAGTAATAGAGACGGGGTCTTGCTCTTGCTCAGGCTGGTTTCGAACTCCTGACCTTGAGCAATCCTCTTACCTTGGCTTCCCAGAGTGCTAGGATTACAGCCGTGAGCCACCATGCCCTGGCTGACTTCTCAGATCTTTCTGTCTCCTTCTCCTTGGGTAAATGTGACGGGAATGGAAGGGTCTACTGGCAAAAGGGGAAGGACATCCTTTCTCCCTCCCACTAAAACTTTACCCTGGTACAAGACTCTTACTGGTCACCTAACCTCACCTGAAGCAAAAGGTGTCCGTTCTCACTCCCCACCCGCTTTCCTTCCCAGCAAAGAGGTGGCACACGCAGCACCCCCACCCCACCGCCCCACATACAGACCCCGGGGCAGCAGCCACACCCCTACCTCCAGCTTGCAGCCTGCTCTTAGGGACCCACCTGGTCAGAACTCCCCTGGGCCTCTTCCCTTAGAATCTGAGAACGGAGGCTGAGAGAGAAGAAAGGAAGAGAAAGAGAATTGAGTACAGATAAAAAGAAAACTAATGCTTACTCAGTGGATTCCTACCGTGTTTCCCCGAAAAAAGGATGGGGTCTTATGTTTATTTTTCCTCAAGAAAACGCCCTAGGGCTTATTTTCAGGAAATGTGTTATTTTTTTTTAAGTACAGTACAATCTACATTTATTCAAATATAGTTAAGTCGTCTTCTTCTGGAACATCATCATAACTCTCCAAACCCCGAATTCCATCCTGAATTTCTTGCGACTCTATTTCCTTTAGAACCATTTGCCCCAGTCTCTCATGTTGAGCAATAGAGCTCTCATGGGGCAGGTGAGAAGGGCTGCTCGTCTTCTTTACCGCTCCACGAGGAAATGCATGGGTTGTGCAGATATGCTGTGTAGCCATGCCCAACACTAGGTCTTATTTTGGGGTAAGGCTTATATTGCACAAATGCTTAGAAATCCTGCTAGGGTTTATTTTATGGGTAGGTCTTATTTTTGGGGAAACACGGTAGTCAGAAAAAAAGACACAGTGTAAATGTTGGAACCGAGAATATTAGCACAACACAAATAGTGTTAAAATCTCTGAATTCTATAAACGAATGCATTCTTACTAAATATTTTTGGAAGGGTAGCTATTTCATGGGACTTCACAGGAAGCAAAACTTTTATTTAATGACTAAAACTAGTATCCCTTGGATAGCAGTTAATATGGCAGCACATATGATGGGCTGCTTAATGAATGCTTGTCATTGGTTATGATACAATCTTGTTAATCTAAGTGTCTTCAGGGGGAAAGTGAAGAAATAAATAGATGAATCGGTTGTTTTCTCCTTTTATAAATACCATTAATTATCATTAGGTTTAAAATGAGATTCCACATAGTGTCTTAAGCTGAAGGCCAAATTGTGTATTTATATATATAAATATGTACACTTAAATCATATATACTTAAGAGACTACACCTATTTTCAAAATATATAAGCCTAAAAAGAATAAATAAGAAAGGTAGAAAATAAATTGTGCTTCATTGAGAAATGTATAAGGGCTTGATATGATCAGAGAGTTGTAATTGTAATTTCAGTGATGAAATTTGGCAATAAATAAAAAGCACTTGAGTATCTTAATTAGTTTTTGGACTTAAATTTAGTTCTGCATATATGGGAATGAATTCATCCCATAGGCCTACATCAGCTTACAGAGTTGGGTGTTCAAAAACTAATAATTACATAAACCAGGTATTGGGAGTATGAACTTTTCACAGTTTTAACTCTCAAGTGTACGAAGATTTGACTTTATGTTTCTCTAACAGGTAGCTTTAGCTTTTGAATCCTTGTTTCAGCTTGGTAGCAGAAATATTGTGTGCCCATTTGAGTTAAAACTCTTTTAATTCTAGAGTTAAAAATCAGTAAGTTTTGGGTAAATAGCCCATTCAAGATTCTTCCCTGTTCCTACTCCCATCCAGGAGAGATATAAGTACCAGGAAGGCGTCTGTGTTGTCCAGAGAGGTGAATTTAATAGCTTAAATATGTTATTCTATTATTCACAAGGTACTTCTGGGTCACCTTTGCTATAAAAGTGGAGAATATTTTTTAAATAAAGTTAGGGCACACTCCATAAAAGTTTTACAACTCACTTAAAATCATAGAAGAGCTGTATATTTCAAGATAAAGATTTAAGCTCTGGTTATTTAGCGGGGTCTTGGGAGGCAGGAATTGCTGTGTCAACCAATGTTGTGCTCTATATTTCATTACTGCCTTTATGTTTTTTTAAATACCTCAAGACTAAAGTTTATTTAAAATGTCACACTTCTCAAGCAGCACATTACATCCATAGAATACACTAGGACCATGGCCATTACTCTTATTTATTACGGTAGATTAGTTACGGACCCTCTGCCATCATATCTGGCTTATTAACATACTGCATACTAAAAAGCATAATAGATGGTCCCGTAATGAGCAGTTGCAAAGTCTAGTCACTCATTCTTCCTAGGCTGTCCTTTTTTGTTCAGAGGGGAAAATTGAAGAGGATTGGGCCTGTGCCTAAAACATTCACCACCTGATTCAGCTTGTGGGGTGAGGAGAGAAGGGAACCGTCTCAACACATAATTATTGAGAAATCCTCTGTCTCTCTCCAGGATTACAAACAAAGCTTAGCAATCGTCAAGGTTGACTGAACTAATCTCAATCAAATGCCATAGAAAGCAGGGATGGGCTAGAGTAATCAAGACCTAGACCCGTTATGCGTTGGTTTTTCTGAACTCAGTTTTTGAAAATAAAATGGCAGAAACACACCAGCAGTGAGGGTGGGTTTCTAATTCACAGAATATTTTATCTATTCTATCACAAGAATATTTTTGCTGACATAAATCACCCGTAAACTTCTGCACAAGGTGGACCCTTTATGGAATAACTTGAATCCTGCAAAATACTTGATAAATACCAAAGACGCTAAAAGAGGATCTTAATGGAAAAGACTGATTAAGTAACCTTTTCTCAGCTGACATCAAGAAAAAAAATGTTATTTGTTGGTTTTTTAAAACCTGTTCGTTTTTCAGAAAATAACAAGTGTTAGTGAGGATGCGGAGAAATTGGAACTCTTGTGCGCTGTTGGTGGGATTGTAAATGGTGCAACTGCTATAAAAATCAGTATGGTGGTTCCTTGAAAGATTAAAAATAGAATTACCATATGATCCAGCAATCTCACCTCTGAGTATATATCCAAAAGGGTTGAAAGCAGGGCCTCGAAGAGATATTTGCATGCCCATGTTCATAACAGCACTATTCACAATAGCTGAGAGATGGAATCAATCCAAATATGCATCAACAGATGAGTGAGTAAACACAGTGTAGCATATATATACAGTGGACTATTATTCAGCCTTTAAAAAGGAAGGAAATCCTATCACATGCTACAGCATGGATAAACATTGAGGGTATTATGGTCAGTGAAATAAGCCCATCACAAAAAAGACAAATACTGTATGATTTCACTTATATGAGGCATCTAAAGTAGCTAAGTTCATAGAAACATAAAGTAGAATGGTGGTTGACAAGGGTTGGGGGAGGAGGAAATGGACAGTTGTTTAATGGGTAGAAAGTTTGAGTTTTGCAAGATAAAAAAGTTCTGGGTATCTATTTAACTCTGTTTTTATACACACACACACACATACATATATTCCTATATATATGAATATACTTACTACTAAACTGTACATTTAAAAATGGTTAAGATGGCAAATGTATGTGTTTTTCTTTCATTATAAAAATTTTTAAATGTATTAGTTTTTTTGATGACCATAATCAAGATTAATTAAATTATGCTCAGAAGACTTCTTACAGGATAGGAATGCAAGTAATTTTATTATCCATACTGTTGCTGGATCCAGGTTTTTGCCTCCTGCAAATCAGCATGGCCGAGCACTCCAGATAATCTATCACCAGACAACCTAAGGGTTCTTTGAGAGTATAAGTATTATTTTCAAAAGAAATTTGTGATCCAAGAGTTACTTGGAGCCAAATTTCTCGAGGGAACTTAACAGTTTTGGTGTTGTATTGGGATGTGGTAGAAGCTGGTGTGATCTCTGTGTAGGGAGCTGGGTGTTTTGATGTGTTTTTTGATGTATCAATTAGTAGCAAATTATAGAAGGCACATGTCTCGGGTTTCATTGCTTAGTTTTATGTTGTGCAGCAGCAATTTCCTAACCACAGTCTTGATGAAATATAGCTGCACAGCAAAAGGAGCATTTATTATCAGAAACACATTTCTTTTCTGACATTATGGGGGAGAAAAGGGTAGAGATTAACTGTACTTTTTAATAAGAGATGGAGTGCTATTGGAAAACTATTAAGGAAACTACGGCTTTAGCTTGGATTCTAGGAAGCCCATGACAAAAATCTACTGCTTTCCAGCTTCATACTGCAGGAGGGCCCATTCTACAGACCCACTGTAGCTTGAATAACTCTGGGGAGCAGTGTGACATGGGGCTGTTCTAGGTGAGGCAATCATCCACTGATGGGCTCCCCCACTTCACTCTCCTAATGGATTCCACCAGACCTTCTAGTCGACCCGCTTCCAGCCCTACCCCATCTCAACTCTGGTCTGCCTCCTAATGACAGTGAAATCTTCAGAGACCTCTTACCAGTTTGGAGCTGGGCCTTGGAGCTGCAGTACAGGCTTGTAAAGCAGATGCGTAGTAAACGCTGCCGCCAAGTGCACAGCACATTTTCCTGAGTGGAAATGCTGTGCTAGAGACAGAACATTACTTAACAGTAGGTGGGCAGTTCAATCCTAAACAGCTCAGTTCTTTCCCATCGGAGACCCTGCAGAAGCAGGCCCTGCCGCAGCTGTGGGAGGAAGAGCATCTCTTGTAGCTGTTAGGAGCAGACAGTGGCTAACAGCAGACAGTCTCTTGGGAAGCCCCTGTCTGTGATTTTCCTATGTAAACAAGAGAAAGCAAAACCCCTGGGTTTGTCTTTCACATAAACAAGCTGCATAAAACTTTCCTTCATACGCATGTGCTGGTGTGCTGTCTTTCCTTTAGGTTTTTACTGCTGCTTCAAGGTGTTTTTGCACAGATATGTAAAGGTGCCTAGCCCTTCTCCTTCTCAGGAAAAATAACTGTTTATGGAGTGCCTGTCGCCATGCAGGCCTACTCTGCATCTACAATATCATCTCACCTCTTCTTCATTGAACACATCTACTCCTAGGGAGTTGTCAGATTGCACTGCTGGCTGGCCAACCTGAGATTTCTGCTTCTGTTTACAGTCTCCCAGAATGAGAGAAAGAAAAGTCACAAATGACGCACCATTTTCTCATTTTTCTAATCGGCTTCTCCCCAGGCTTTTCCACATCTGGAATTAAATATCTGAGCCTGTCAGCCAGACCAACCCCTAACATCGGCAGCGTCCAGGCAAGAACACAAATGGATGCCCATATGTCTAAATATTTAAAAGTTATCCTTTTAAAAAGTCCCTTTAAACCTGGGCTCCTCATGTCTGCATCAGATATATGCACTGAGATTCATGTATAAGATTTAATTATAACAGCACTAAGTTGGAAACAATCTAGATGTCCAACAATGGGGCACTAATGAATTATAGTGTCCCTCCATATAATAGAATATGATACCATCATTTAACATTTTTAATAATATTATTAATATTAAGTTATTTTGAGAAGTATTACAAAGTGAATAATGATTAAAGTATTTTTGTGATTACTATTTTAAAGTATATGTATACATAAAAAGAAAAATACTCAACAAAATAGTAAGTTAATACGATTAGCAACTTACTATTAGTAAAATAGTAAGTTAATAATCTCTGTGTAGTGACTTCATAAATTATATTTATTCTCTTCTATGTATTTTCAGTATTTTCCAAAAAACGTTATAACAATGAGGAAAAAATACATTTGTAATAAACCTATTTGTATGCTTTAATAATATTATTTCCAGGAATATCTTTTAAGGAAAAAAATCAAAGATGTAGTTAGATATCACAAGGGAATTCATCATGATGTTATTCACAATAAAAATTATAGATAACTAAAATTCTAACACCAGGGTAATAGTGACAAAAGTTATGGGAAAACTAAAATGAAATATTAGAAAGACTCAAAAGCATATTCTCAAAGTCTAAGAAAACAAAATGCTCAAAACAAAATGTTACAGAGAAAAGCAAAAAGTGAATTTAAATGATTTTAGCACCTTAAGTTGTTTCAGTATTTAACAAAATTAAGGCAAGGTCTTTGGGGGAAAATGTTTCTTTTGATTGTGTGTGTCTTTCAAATATCTTAATAGGGGAAACAATTCAGTAAGATTATTGAATCTTTGAAACTTCCTCCTGCTTGTTATTTTTTAATAATTATTCTCTTTATTTCCCCTCAGAATGATTGGCAATTAAGCTCTTTAAACAAAAAAAGGGTCTACATGTGCTGGTCTATGCAGGCAGAGTGCAGGGGAGCTCACAGAATGGGCAAGATGGCTCAAAAGCAGAACTGAGGAGAAGATACACAAAGGAGCAAGAAGATCATTACTGAGCCAAGTAGAGAGAAAGCAGCTTTCTGGGTGTAAGCTGCAAGGAGGAAGGGGAAAACATACTTGGCCACAACAGCCAGGGAAGGGAAAAAAAAACCCGGAGTTTAAGAGGGGAAGGAATGTTGTGGTTTCTCCAGCTCCAGAAAATAGCAAACACACTCCCATCCCTACCCCACTAACACTGAGACCTACCCTGAGATCTTCTATTCAGTTAGAAAATCTTTTGTTTATCAACCAAGCATGTGTTGGGTGGTGTGCTAGACAGCCACAGGAGAAGAAAGGAGGAAGCTGTTTGTTTCTGTTACGGTTATCTGCCTCTTCATCTCTTCCTTCTTTAAAAAAAACTTCCAGACAAGTGTTCTGTGTGAACACTCTTATCTTTTCCCATGGCCCTACATCCTTGTCCACAGTGACAGGTTCTCTACAGTGTGGACAACTTACCCAAGCTAAGTCAATCAGTGCTGCGCACTCCGTTGGCCATTGTGGTTGGTCAAAGGGCGATCACGTGATCTGAAGCCAGCCAATCAGACTCCTTCCCTGGCTGTTTTCAAAACTTCATTGAGAAAAAGGGCGCCTTCCCTCTGAGAGATAGCCACCGGTCTAGATGTGAGCCCGGAAGCTGCAAAGAGCCAGATGAGAAGCACAGGAGAAAATGAGGTAACCAGCCAGAATGCTTAGGGACACAGGATGGAGAAAGGGTCCTGCTGACAGCCAAATCCCGGTTCTGGGTATCCCGGAGTCTACCTCTTCCTCTGTCCTTCTGGCTCTTTAATTACATGGCCATTATCTTTCTGTGCTTCTGAAGCTAGTTCCCATTGCATTCTACCCTGTGAAACCAAAAAGTGCTCCCCACTACGGGGTTTGGCATTGCAAAGCTCTGTGTCAGGTGGTAAACCCCCCGGACACAGGGACACATACAGGGGCGAGGTCCAGCGCTTTAGCACGGTAACGGGGGAGGTAAGGGTGCTCTCACTGGACGCGCCTCATTGTATGTTGCCCTCTTACCTGCCTCACTCAGCATTAATGTAAATATTTACTGAATACCTACCCTCACCCGTCTGTGGCCTTTTGCACTGAATTGATGCACACCCACTCTTCTTTCCTGTTTAATCTCATTCAGCCTACTGAGGAAATTTTTAAAAAGAGAATTCCACTTATGCCCATAACTGTGAAAATGCAACATGTTTTTAGTGGAAGATTTACAAATAGCCACAAGGTGGGGCTGTTATGCAAGGGAAGTAAAAGTTAACGATTGGGTAGGAAGAAGATGCAACATTTCCCAACACCCAGGGTAGAACATTGAAATCTTTCCTCACTAAAAAGTAAGGAAACAAAAATTCTAAGAACATATATGTATTTAAACTTTTCATAAAATCAAAGCACTACTTATATCAAATTCAGGGATTACTCTTTTTAACAATCTAGTGCTCCTTTTGGGGGAAAACCATACATAATATTTATTATATATTTTATATTAATTATATAATTATTATTTATTATTGTTAATAATTCCCCCTCAGAGATTCTGTCCACATCAAGGTTGTTTACTTATCTTTTTTCTTGTTTTTTTAAATCTTCATTCTTTTATCCTTTTCAATGAAAAGGATGCTATAAAACTGAAAATTATTTATTTATTGACAGACTTCTATGTCTTCTACAGACTTCTGATTTATTGACAGACTTCTATGTCCTCTGTATTCAATTTCAAGAACAAGTGAATAACATTTGATATTTGTGATCAACGTGCTTTTGTTTCCTGGTCTCTTCCACCACAATCTAAATTAAATCGCTTTGACCTCACTATTTTTCCCTTCGGGTTTACAATTTGAAGATCTGGACAACTCTTGATTAATAATGGTAACATAAAGTGGCCACACACTTAGACCATCCAAAAGAGGCAACGGGAATGTGAGCCCTAAGTATGCCTTTGCCTTCTCAGAGACCACACGGTTCGCTGGGTCAAGGTGACCACAGAAAGCGGAGGCTGCAGCGTGCCAGCCCACCCTTGAGCTGCATAAAGCAGGGAGTCTGCATAGAGACGCAGGGGAGGCGGCAGAGAGGAGCATGCCTGCTTTTGCTAGGGCATGGTGCAGTCTGCGTTGCACTAACTCAAAACCGGGAGCGTCCTGTTGAGAAATGGAAAACCTAAAAATAGACCCGCACAAAGTACTTTGACCTTGGCTTGAAAGTCAGCCCAGTTCTATGACAAGAAAGGCCTTTTCCATGAAGATTATGTTCTTAAAAGCCATATTTCATCTGCACACAGACTCCCAGTAAAACCACACTCAGAAAATGTGCATCTTGGCTATCCTTCAACTGTAAAATCATTATGTTTGGCTCTGGTTTTTCTGGACATTAGATATCTGTGTAAGGGTTTCTTTCTGAAATTCCTTGTACAGAACGTTAGAGGTTATAAACTGGATTAATAGTGACATTTAAGCAAGTCTGCTCTTGCTATATGCATCCAATGCTTAATGATTTTTGGAAAGAATTCAAGGATAAAGCAGAAAAAGCATTGCACTGTAGTAATACAGAATGTACATGCTTTAGAATTAACTACAATAAGCTAATAATTTTTCTTGAAGAAATCTATCCAGAGAGCCAAGAGAATATATTTTTTAAAGTTGTAGTAATTAAATTCAAAATTAAAGGGAACTATCCTATAATTTTTTGCCATTTGTTAGAGTTATAATATTTAAAATCTTTAATATCAAAGAATTTTAGCACACCTTCATATGTATTTTGTATATATTTCAAGGATAACTCAAACTGTGATAAAAAGCTATTAAAGGAGGGGAAAAACCACTTTTATATACTTAGGTAACTTTCTAAGGAACAGCTGCTACCAATTAAACAACAAATACTTTTTAAAGCCTCTTGGGGGTTCAATGTTCCTTCAGTGGTCTGAAAAACCTGGAAAAATGGACTTCATTAGCAGCTACAAAATTATTGAAAGGATATTTGAAATGGCATTTAATACCTGCAAAGACAGAAACAATCAGTGGTTTAAAGTTTCACCGTAAAGATTGGTAAATAACACTGATTACAGGTCTTATTCAAACAGAAAATAATGAATATGTAATGAAAGGAGAATAATGATCCAAATTGCTCTTAATCTGCGAGTTGTGCCTATTGATTGGCCTGGAAATAATAGTGCTAATCTTACGGTAAGAAAGCCAAGTGCCTTAGAAAGTCATTAGCTTTGGGGGAACAAGATACCCATTTCATTGTAGTAGTACAGTATTTTATTGAATAAAGCCTTCAAACAACTGTGTGTTTAGGAAAAATTCCAGGGTTAACTCAAGTCAAATAACATTCCTTTCCACTCTGCTCTGTAACTTGTAAAAGCAATTTAGGTACTCTTTATAATTCATCACACATTTAATGTACACCTTCTGTATCCCTGGCACACAAGAGAATTGAATGCAGTAAATAATTCAGTATTCTGAAAGATAATTATTGATCTCACATTGGTTTCTTTCTTTCTTTCTTTCTTTCTTTCTTTCTTTCTTTCTTTCTTTCTTTCTTTCTTTCTTTCTTTCTTTCTGACAGAGTCTTGCTCTTTTGCCCCAGGTAGAGTACAGAGGCATCATCATAGCTCACTGCAACCTCACACTCCTAGGTTCAAGTGATCCTCCTGCCTCAGCCTCCCTCCTGAGTAGTTCGCCACACCCAGCTAATTTTTTTCTATTTTTAGTAGAGACGAGGTCTCACTCTTGCTCAGGCTGGCCTCAAATTCCTGAGGTTCAGCAATCCTCCCAACTCAGCCTCCCAGAGTGCTAGGATTACAGGTGTGAGCAACCTATAAGAAAAACAAGAAAAATAAATTTCTCATTTTTATTTATTTATTTATTTTACAATACATCATGATGTTAAATTTTTTATTTTTATTTATTTTTCTTTTACAATACAACATTGGTCTATTTCTAATGAGGTGAAGAAGTAATAACCTTCTCAAAATAGTACATTTATATTTTAGACATTTTATGTTCCTGAAACACAATGGCAAATTTTCATGAACGAACATATTTATAAGCAAGAAATGCATTAAAGACATACAAGGTTTCTTAAAAATCATGATTTCTCATCTCTAGGAAAAGCCTCAAAGAATTTTGAATTTGAAATACCTTTACTTCCCATTAACTTTTTTTGAGGACTCATGTATACAAGTTAAATTTACATTTTTTCATCCATTTTTGAGGCCTTATATGTATGCTTAGATCCTGAGATTGAAAATGTACTACTCTTTTTTTTTTTTTTTTTTTTTGGAGACAGAGTCTCACTTTGTCGTCCAGGCTAGAGTGAGTGCCGTGGCGTCAGCCTAGCTCACAGCAACCTCAAACTCCTGGGCTTGAGTGATCCTTCTGCCTCAGCCTCCCGAGTAGCTGGGACTACAGGCATGCGCCACCATGCCCGGCTAATTTTTTATATATATATCAGTTGGCCAATTAATTTCTTTCTATTTATAATAGAGACGGGGTCTCGCTCTTGCTCAGGCTGGTTTTGAACTCCTGACCTTGAGCAATCCACCCGCCTCGGCCTCCCAAGAGCTAGGATTACAGGCGTGAGCCACCGCCGCCCGGCCGAAAATGTACTACTCTTATTTTAATTTAAATGGTAACACATAAGCATCTGACTAATGAAAATAGAAATATGTGACAAACTCAGGCTTCTCTTAGCAAACATGTATTGACTGAGGAGCTAGTTAGTGTTAGAGTTTGCCAGGTGGGGGCAGCAGAGAGCACTTTGCAGGGACATGGTGCGATGAGGACCTCAATACCAGGTGGTTGCCAGGAAACCCTCAGGGCACCTGAGAACTGGGCAAGATGGTCTGTTGTGGGGAAGTTAGCTGAATGGGGAGGCTGGCAACAGGAAGCACAAGCCAGGAAAAGCAAGGAAAGGGAACGAGAAAAGACTGTATTCAAAGTGGAAAGAACTTGGGCTTTCATGTCACAAAAACCTGACTTCTGACACCAATTGAGTCACCTCAGGCAAAGGACTTAATCTCTCAGACTTGGTGTTCCTCACGTGTAAAGTGAGTATAATGGTATTACCACGTCGCGGCATTATTACAGGGTCAGAAGATGATGCATGTAAAGTACTTAGCACATTGCCTACCAGTACATGGAAAGGCTTAGCAAAGGTTCTGAGCTATCATCGTGACACACTGCAGCTGCCCGAGAGGCTGGCAAAGTGAAGCCAAGTGCCAGCCTCAGGGAGGGAAACAAATGGCAACCTCGGGAAGTCAAAGGCAGGCAGGTGAAGGAAGCAAGGCAAAGGGAGCCGAGACGGGGAGGAGTCTCCTCACTACACTTTGAGTTGAACTAAGGACTTTTTTTTTTTTTTTTGAGACAGAGTCTCGCTTTGTTGTCCAGGCTAGAGTGAGTGCCGTGGCGTCAGCCTAGCTCACAGCAACCTCAAACTCCTGGGCTTGAGTGATCCTTCTGCCTCAGCCTCCCGAGTAGCTGGGACTACAGGCATGCGCCACCATGCCCGGCTAATTTTTTTTTATATATATATCAGTTGGCCAATTAATTTCTTTCTATTTATAGTAGAGACGGGGTCTCGCTCTTGCTCAGGCTGGTTTTGAACTCCTGACCTTGAGCAATCCGCCCGCCTCGGCCTCCCAAGAGCTAGGATTACAGGCGTGAGCCACAGCGCCCGGCCTGAGGACTTTTTTGTATCCTAAAATCTTGACTGCTTCAATCTGTGCCCTAGGAATGGCCACCTAGCCCCACCCTGTCTTAAAGATATTTTGCTCGGAATCAGGTCATTTGTAGGAAATGCACCAGAAAGCAAGTCTAGTGTTATTTCAGATCTTACAAGTGCATTCGCGTAAAAATGGGAATGAGAAATTTCATTCTATAGAAAGGCTTTCTAGGTCTGCATAGCAGTGCATCCATTGGAGACTGTTTGTTAGCTTGTTTGCAAAAACAATTGATTCTTGGAAGTTTTAATTTTTAATTTTTTTTTTACTCATGTGAATGAATGGCTCCTTTATTTGTTAAAACATGAAGTAAGTACCTCTCTCTTGTCCCTGGAGAGGATGGGGTGGCTTCCATAAAGCTGAGTGCAGAGGCTACCGTCTGCAAGACGTTGAGTGTTCTGCTTCATAATGGGAGTTATAGACATCTTTAACTGCATCGTGCTCTTGAAGAATTCAGGAAATCTTTTGACCATGAAATGGTGTTTGGAAACTAAACTCTCCCCCACTTGCTACTCTTCAAAACTGAAGAACCCAGATTTGGGGAAATGTCCTTTGGGGCACTTTGCTGATGGCTTTGGCTGAGCAGTGTAAAGAGGGCCATTCCCTGGGCATGGGTGGGGAGGGGGATGATTTTCCCCATTCTCAATCATCCTGAGGTGGCAGATGAGCATGCCTCAGAATAGGGAAGGAGAGAAACTGCTTTGCTCCAAAGGGACTAATAGGTTGGGCATGGGACTATGGCTCACAGATGCCTAGAACTCCTGTGTGTGCAATGTGAGCTGGGCCTGGCCATGCAAAGGCCTTCAGGGGCTGGGCTGAGCCTGAAGTTTGTTTAGGCCACCTGTAAGCCCCGAGAGTACTCTTTGGTCCCTGCTGTTTCGAGCACTCAACTTGATTCCTTTAACTCTTAGTAGAGTTATTATTAAACATCATGGTTTCCCCCATTTTTAGTAAGTGGCACAGACATCTAAAGTCACCCAAATGTTCAAACTGAAAGCCTCACTATTCCTTCCCATTCATCCAGTGCATCCATCGACAAGGACAATCAATTCTGCCTCCAAATAGAGTAGAGCCCAAGTCAGTGCTCTGTGTGCCTCTCCTCTCTCCTACCCTGACCCAGTTTCCCCTGTTTGCTACCTGGACCCTCCCCTCTCCCAGCTTTCTCTCCTGACCCTTCTACCTGACTCTTGCAACCTGCAGATCTCTTTTAAAATATAAATGAAGTCAAGTCCTTTTCCTGCTTAAAATCTTTCAGTTTCCTAGGACTCTCAGGATAAAGATATATAGTCAGCATGGCCTGCAAGGCTGAGTCTGGACTCGGTGAATTTGGAGAGCTCCGTGAGAGCCCTGGCCTCTGGCAAGAGCTGCCTGGAAAACCCAAGTATAGACAGCACAAAGTGACCATTGCAGATCAGGAGCAAGAGACCATGACAGAGGAATCCTTGGGATTCCTTCTGGAAGGAAACCCAGTAGGAGAGCTGACTTCCTATTCCTACTGGCAGAGGTTGCGATAGGGCCGAGAAGGAAAAGTGACTCATGGTGTCAGCCCAGGTGGATAAGACCTGGGGATGTATCAGTGACACACCCAGCCCGGGGAAGGGAAAAGCTTCACTGTGAATCAAAATAACCCTCTTCATCTTAGTCTTAAAAATGAGAACCAGAGATTGTACAACTTACATATAATAATGGCTTCCATTTATCAAGCACCTGCTAAGGGGCTGGCTTCATGCCAGGCATTTTACACAGTTGATTACAACAACCTTATAAGATAATTATTATTATTATCTCTATTTTTGATATATGGAAACCGAGGCTCAAAAGGTTACTAAAAGTCAAATGATTAATAAGGGCACAAACTTTTAGAAATTACCAAATTACCTTTCTTCATAAGGGAAGGGTCAGATCTAATGTTTAATTTGTCATTAACTGATGTAGAATATAAAGTTAGGTGCTTATTTGTGTATTGCCCGTCTCTCCACCACTAGGATAAAAGAGCTGTATGTAGGAGAGACTGTTTTGTTCATGGCTGCCTCCCTAGCACACGGAATAGTGTCTGGTCACAACAGACACTAAAAGAGGGATTTGTTCATAGATTGAAGAAATGAAGTTTCCCAGGTGCTTTCATTACTCAGTCATTTTGATTCAGAGCTTTACAAAAGTAGGAAAAATTAATGTGAATATCCATGTGTCTATAGATTTGGTGTTAGATATTTTTTTCTTATTCTCTCCACTAAAAGTACTGCTATTAAAATACAACTGTGCCTTATTCAACCAGAGGTTTCCATTAGCAACAAGAATTAATTAAATTATGAGTCATCAGCAGATGACATACTAAGGCAGATTATCTCCCCACGATTATTGGGTTTTTTTGTTTTTTTAATTATAAAAGTAATATAGTAAAGAACACAAGTGAGATTTATTAATTTTAAAAAGCAAGTATGTACCGTTATGAAAAGATTTCCAGGATGGATATTTTTAATGGAAAAAAAAACAACAACAAGATGCAGAATAGTGTTCACAGTATGCTTTTCTCCCAGGGGGTAATAATAATAGTTATCGAGAGCTTACTATGTGCCAGACACTATATTATACCTGCTGCATGAATTATCTCATTTAGGCCAGATGCAATGGCTCACGTCTGTAATCCTAGCACTCTGGGTGGCTGAGGTGGGAGGATCACTTGAGCTCAGGAGTTCCATATCAGCCTGAGCAAGAGCAAGACCCTGTCTCTTCTAAAAATAGAAAAATTAGCCAGGTGTGGTGCTACTCACCTGTAGTCCCAGCAACTTGGGAGGCTGAGGCAGGAAGATCGCTTGAGCCCAGGAGTTTGAGGTTGCTGTGAGCTATGATGATGCCACCACACTTTAGACAGGGTGACAGAGAGAGACCTGTCTCAAAAAAAAAAAAAAAAAAAAAAAAAAGAACTATCTCATTGAATTCATTTAGCACCAACATATTGTTAGTACTACACCCTCACTTTAAAAAGCACCATTACCTCCATATTAAGTTATGTTTTAGTTTTTATTTTGAAACAAACCAGAACTTAGAGAAATGTTGCAACACACATACACGTATATATTTTGCATCTGACTATACTGCTATATCTCCATATATATTCAAAGCCATGAGATGGCACCAATATCTACAATTCTATTCCTATACCACAGAGTTTCAGTTTTCTCTGTTTTGTTTTGTTTTGTTTTTGAAACAGAGTCTCACTCTGTTGCCCGGGCTATAGTGTTGTGGCATCAGCCTAGCTCACAGCAACCTCAAACTCCTGAGCTCAAGTGATCCTACTGTCTCAACCCTCTGAGTACCTGGGACTACAGGCATGTGCCACCATGCTTGGCTAATTTTGTCTATATATTTTTAGTTGGCCAATTAATTTCTTTCTACTTTTAGTAGAGATGGGGTCTCACTCTTGCGCAGGCTGGTTTCGAACTCCTGACCTTGAGCGATCCTCTCAGAGTGCTAGGATTACAGGTGTGAGCCACCTCGCCCGGCCCAGTTTTCTCTGTTTTTATGTGTGTGTTTCTGCTCTCTGATAATGAGAAGCCCAGCTCTGATTGTCCTCAATATATTAATATTACTTAGGAAATCAATCTTTCTGTGTATAACCAACCACTCTCCTGTTGCCTCCACTGTCCCCATCCCTGGTAGGGTGTCTCTCCTCCCACTAGTCTCCAGCTCTCCACATCAGACCCTCTCACCCCTCCTCCCCCGGAACCTCATCCCCCTATTTGGGCTCTGACACCCCACACCACCACGGAGGCCCTCCTTGCTCTGTGCCAAGACCTCCCTAGCCTCTGACACCGCACTTCCCCACCAGCCTGCAAGGACAGCTTCCTCCCCCACGCAGAGACAGCCATGAGACAGTGGCTCTAGGGGCTCCAGAGTTTTAAAACTGCATCAAATTTAATATATTAGCATCTTTGGTAGCCCACTCTTAAAGGACCAGCAGTTAGACGGAAAGCGTGGATGGCCATTTAGCTAGTCATTTGCATGAGAATGAAACATGAGAGGTGAAAGAAAAAAAAAATGAAAGGAAAAAGGAAAAAAAAAATTGTACCAGGGAGGAAGATATTTCATGAGCTGAATCCCAAGCAGCGAAGTCACCACTAATGTCACAACAGTGTTGCCAGCTAATAATGGGCTGCTTCTTAACTGTCGGGAAATGCAAACAGCACAACATTAAAATGGTTCTATTTTTTCCATCCTTACAATAGCAACACAGCAATAAAGTGCTGATCTCTGAAAGACAAAGGCTGTGAAAATAAACATAAAGTTAAGTCAGGGGGCACTTGGGTTGTGATTTTTTTTCTTTGGAGATATTTGGTAACATATTCAAAATCCTCAAACGGCCACTGGGATCATCCCTTGAGGGGCAGCCTAAAGTCACCCACCCATCTCAAATGGCTGGGCAAAGCCCCCTGCCCGTGCAGGGCTGCCAGACAGCTGGCTTCCTTTGCTCCTCATTTGCCTTGGCTAAGTGGCTTCCAGGGTGTTTCCAAAAGCAAAATGAAGGGTTCAAACCAAAGAGCAGGTAGCTGGGCCAGGTCTGCGTTTTCCTCTATGTCAACTGGGCATCTGCTTGACCTCTGGTTCCCTGGCCACCGCAAAGGCTGCACTAAGACCTCTTTAATGGCAGGACTGCAGGTGGCTCTCAGCTGACAATTTATCTTTAGGGCTCCTCGCTTTTCACTTTGTTATTACTTCCCCTGTCCCCTTGTCTTCACTTTCTATTTTCCCAGTGACCTGTTTTTTACTTCATCTCCCTCTTTTATTATTACTATTAAGTTTCACTCCCCCTGCCCTACATCCTTGGCTTCCTCCCTAAGCACTTTGAAAAATGAGGTGAATTTTATATCTGGAGAAGATGCTGAAAGGTGAGTCTTGAAAGCCAGCCCCAGCTGCCTCCTCGCACCGGGTTCCACAGGCAGTAACAGCTCTCTTTTCTTGGTGCTAATTCTCACCAGTCAAACAGTATAGCCGTCCCCTTGAAGGAATGGTTTGATCTAGGATCCACACAAGGGACAGGATCTAGGATCCACACAAGGGACAGGATCTAGGATCCACACAACTAAAGAACAAAACGTGTAATCAGGTTGCAAATTTCTAGGCACTTGCAGCCAGCATTTTCTTAAATACCAGACTGGGGTTCGGGGGTGGCTAGCAATCTTTTCCCCCTTTCCAGCTTATAGAAATTCAGGGTTACTTACCCCAAGACCAGGGAAATCCTAAACAGATGCAGGTTGTATGGATAGGACCAGGAATAAGTTGTTTCACCTGGGAAAAGCATCCAAACTTAGTCCAAGATCTAGGATATGCCAGATGTTTTCCATTTGTTCTTCTAGTTCACTCTATTCCCTTTGTCACCTTTCTCTGTGCCCCAAAGAGGAGGCCAAGCTAACAACAGGCTCCTTTGCCCTACAGCTTCCTGCTGGATTCAGACCCTGGGGAGCACTGGCGATCAGAGAGAGGAGGGTGGTGAGGTCAAGAGGCCAGGGTGTCTATTCGCTGGCTCCCCCCACCCCTTTGGGGTCACTCTGGGCTGGCTGAATATCCCAGCTCCTATCCAGTGCCCTCTGTCTCATGCCCTTTGTCTCCAGCTCCAGTCACCTTTCTGTCCTTGGTCCCATCAGGCCCATGGAATGACAGTACCCAGGTACTGCACTACCCCTTGTGATTTCCCTATAACCTGCCAACACCTTTATAAATAATCCCTTTATTAAACTCTACTCAAATTACCCAACCAGAATAGACCATCTGTTTCCTGCTGCTAATTTGATGCTTACACAAGATCTCTGCTTAGGCAAGGCAAAAACAGGTATATTTGAGAAATTGCAGTCAGGAACTCAGTTACCCAGAAACTGAAGCCCAAAGGAAGAAATTCAAGCAACTCTTGGCACAGAAGGACAAAGAAGAAACTTTTTTACTAAGGATGAGTGACACAGAGAAGTGGATGAATTCACTGACAACTGAGGCTCCATGTTCAGATTTTCAGTAATAACGTCACATTCATGTGCCCTTATTAAAGGCCAGGCACCTGATAAGTACATGATCACATTTTAGATTTTTTTGACCCACTTTACAGATGAGGAAACCGAATGTATTGATCATTGATATTTGTCTTCCTAACATTCTTCTTTCAACATCTTCCAGTAACAAAGCTGTTCTCTCTTGTAAGGAATTCATTTTACATGTTTTAAGTAGGGCTAAGCCTGTTCTTGCCGATCAGAACACTCCTCCCATGCACAAGGTTTGGCTCAGTAGTGGACGTGTGGCCCAGACAGGCCAATACGTCTCCCTGGAGATTTGATATATGGACCTAGGGAAAGACCTAGAAGGATGATAATATCAGCTGCCACTGCTTAAGGCTACCTTTCCCTCTGCTTGGACGAAGCCATCTCCAGTAAGAAATCACACAGCATCAAGCAAAGAGAACCTGAGACAAGAAATACACGAAGAAAGAGCAAGAGTGAGCACAAGAGAGGTAACCTCTTTTGCTCCTGCATCCACTGTGTCTCAAGTCAGTTCTGTCTCTAGGTTTTTCAGTGTTATGAGCTAACAAATATTTCTGTTTTTACTTAATCTAAGTTGTATTTCTGTCATTATAATTTTTTAAAATGCTGTAAATATATTGAGGCTTACTTAACAGAGATTCTTTAGCTAGGCAGTGATCAGCATACCCTGGTGAGAAAACTGTCCGAAGCTGGAAAAGGAACCACTCAAAAGGAATAGGTGGAACAATCTTGAGAGCTCACAGAGATCCAGAAATAGTTGGTGATCCTGTTGGCTAGAATGAAAACCTCGTAATACACGGGACGCCAGGTAGAGTACTCAGGAGTGTGTTACATACTAAGGAAAAAACATCAGTCCTAGAGTTTGTTGTCCTGCATAACTAAGCTTAAAAGTAAGCCTTGATAGAATCCACCTGTTTTCAAGTAAATTAACCATATCGTAGAACAAAGCCCAAGTATACATACAACAATACAAGAATATGTACCACCTAAAAATGTAAAGTTCACTATTGCTGGCACCCAGTCAAAAATTACCAAGCATATAAAGAAATAGAAAAACAGGCCTATAATGATGAAGAAAAATCAATTAAAATCAACCCAGAATGATACAGATAATAGAACTACAGCCACGATTTGCTTAACGACAGAGGTACATTCTGAGAAATTCTTTGTCCTGGGGAACCTGCAGCCTGGGGGCCACGTGTGGCCTTCTGGATCCTTGAGTCTAGCCTTTTGACTGAATCCAAATTTTACAGAACAAATCCTTTGAAGTTTGGATTCAGTCAAGGGGCAGCACTTGGGGATCTGGAGGGCCACATGTGGCCTTGAGGCCACAGTACTGCAGGCAACTGTAAGACAACGGTTAAGGATTTGTGTATCTAAACATAGGAAACGTACAGTAAAGATACAGTATAAAAGATTTTTTTTAATGGTATAGCTGTACAGGGCACTTCCCACAAATGGAGCTTGCAGGACTGGAAGTTGCTCTGGGTGAGTCAGTGAGTGAGTGGTAAGTGAATATGAAGGACTAGGACATTATTGCATGCTACCATAGACTTTATAAACACTGTACACTTACGCTACACTAAGTTTATGAAAAAATATTTTTCTTTCTTCAATAATAAATTAGCCTTAGCTTACTATAATATTTTTACTTTGTGAACTTTTTAATTTTTTAACTTTTTTGACTATTTTATAATAGCACTTAGCTAAAAACACACATTGTACAGCTGCACAAAAATATTTTTTCTTTATTCCTTATTTTATAAGTTTTTCTGTATTTTTAAAATGTTTAATTTTCTTTCCTTTTTAAGCATTTTTGTTATAAATTAAGACACAAACATGCACCTTAGCCTAAGAGCCAGGATCATCAAGGTCACTAGACAATAAGAATTTTTCAGCTTTATTATAACCTTATGGGACCGCCATCACAATGCGGTCCATTGTTGGCCAAAACATCGTTATTTGGTGAATAACTGTAGTTGTAGTCATAGTCATTAAAACGGGTTTATAACTATAATTCACATGTTTAAGAAAGTAGAGAAAACTATAAGCATGTTAGCGAAAGACATACATGATAATATAAAAGAGAACCAAATCAAATTTCGAAAGTTGAAAAATAAAAAAATATGTGAGATGAAATATAAACTGGGAGGGATTCAAAATAGACTAGACACTGCAAATGAAAACATTAGTGACTTTGAAGACATGTCAGTAGAAACTATTCAAAATGCAACAGAGAGAGACAAATGACTGACAAAAAGAATCAACAGAGTATCAGCAAACTGTGGGACAACCTCAAACAGCTTACTATTCATATATTAATAAATGTAGTCCCCAAGGAGAAGAAATAGAACAGGAAACAGAAGAAATGGCTGAAGAAATAACAGCTGAATGTGTTGAAGAACATAATATGTTGAAAAACATAAACAAATGTGTTGAAGAACATAAACATACTGATCCAAGAAACTCAATAAACCGTGACGAAAAGCGAGATGGGCCAGGTGTGACTCATACCTGTAGTCCCAGCACATTGGGAGGTTGAGGTGGGAGAATGGCTTAAGGCCAGGAATTTGAGACCAGCTTGGGCAACATAGCGAGATCCCATCTCTACAAAAAAAAAAAAAAAAATCAGAAAACCAGCCCCCAGATGTGTGGCCAAGTTGTTTTATGTCTATCCTTGGGGGACTTGAGCCTTTGAGCAAGAAATGAAACAAGTCAAGAAAAAAAAAAAAAGAAAGAAATGAAACAAGTCCACCTAAAAATGTTCTTTACAGAAACTACTAGGGCCCCTTAAGCCAAGGCAAAAATCTTTGCCTTCAGACCTGGCCCAGGGGGAGGGACCTATAGTTGTGGAGGTCTGTTACCATACGTAATAAATCAAGTGTAGAACTAGCTCTATTGTCTTTTTTTCATGTTTCTTTTTTCTTTTCTTTTTTTTATTTTTTTTGAGACAGTCTCACTTTGTTGCCCAGGCTAGAGTGAGTGCTGTGGCATCAGCCTAGCTCACAGCAACTTCAGACTCCTGGTGACTCAAAGGCAATCCTCCGCCTCAGCCTGCCCCGAGTAGCTGGGACTACAAGGCTGTCATGCCACCACCCGATGGCCTGCGCTGAATTTTTATCGCGTATATATATTTAGTTGGCCTAATAATTCTTTCGTTACTGTATAGTTGAGGATGGGGTCTTGCTGCTTGCTCAGGTTGGTTTTGAAACTCCGGCAGCTCAAAGATCCGGGCTGTGCCGCCTGGGGCCCTCCCAAGAGGAGCTAGGATTATAGGTGGAGCCACCACACCGCAGGCCTGTTTTTCATGTTTCTAAGACATTTGTGGTGTTCTAACCTGAAAGCTATGGTGATAACTGGTAGTATTCTAGTGCGCCCCTTTAGGGCAGTTGAGTGCTTGGGTCTCTATGATCCACCACTCCAGGCCCGAAACGGTTGTTCATCTTCCACCTACTACAGCATAGAATTGAGCTGCCATTGCTGACATCAGCTCTGGTTGCCATGATGGCAGAGGCTCACCTCTAAGCTTCCAAGGCTTCCCTCTCATTTTACGCTTTCCCAAGGAAGCTGAGGAAATCTGTGCCTTGTTGGAAGGTGGAACTAGGGTTGGAAGGCTCCAGTCTTTGGATAGGTCAGGGAACCATTCCTTGAAGCGCTGGCTTTTGATGTGGGAGGAATATTGAATGTCCTGTTTACTGAAATTTGGTAAAGGTAACTTCTTGACATTTTTGGCGGAAAAGTATGGAGAGGAAACAACAGTTTATATATAGAAGGGATCTAGGTGTTTAGAGGAACGTTATTAAGAATATTTGGGTTTTATCCTTCCTCAGCTTCTACTTCTCGAACCTTGAGTTTACTGCACGTCCGTGTTCAGAGTTGTTGCTTTTTGGTTTTAAATTCTTTGGATTGATGGTTGTCTTTTCTGATTTTAAGGATTCTATCCATTCCCATTCTCAGACTGGGTTTGTTCCACCGCTCTTCCCCCCAAATATTTGGATTTGATCTAGACTAGTAGGCTATAGTGAGGGAAGACCACTGACAGAATTATAAATTAGAAACTTAACTCCTGAACCAAGGAGGCCATCCAGCCCCCTATGTCGCTAACCATTGGTCAGCACAGTGCCAGGCTGTTGCCTTTCGCTCAGTTGTCCGTGCTTGGCTTTTGGTTTTGCTGTCATTCTGATGGGCAGGCCAGGGCTTTGCTGTATCAAGAGGAGGAAACTGAATTGCTATGGAAGCGTAAGGCAGATACCCTCCCTGTTAGACTCCTCATACCAGGAGAACCTGCGTTGCGTTGCTTGATGTTTCTTTCCTTTTCACTGCTGCCTCCCACCCACTTTCTTTGGCCCTCTTTGCTCAAGTTTCCTAGGATATAGCTGATGATGGTCATGCAAAAAGCTCTGTGAGTTTGGGCCTTCCTGAACAGGGAATTCTTGACTGTTGGGAAAGGTAGGAGAGTCCTAACTGGCTGCTGCTTTCCCTAGCTTTACAGGTGCTCTTGTTTCCTGCTGGGAGGGAAACAGCCCATCTCCATAAATACGCGCTGCTCTTGCTGCGTCTAACTCAGGGCCCAGCGTGCTGACCATTTCATGTTTTTTCAGGAGTTTGAGTCTGTTAGACTAGGACCCCGAAACACTCTGTACATTTTTGGCCGAAGAGGTTGGTGTTACTGGACTGGTAAGACAATGAGAAGCCTTTTGGGAGCAGAGAGTGTGTGTGCGATGGGGGCTCGTCAGGGCAGCGTGACATGGTTATTATATTAGTTTCTAGATTGTTTTATTTTTAGAAATTTGGATTTTTTTAATTGGAGAAAAGGGCGATACCAAAGATATATTTTTAACGCGTGACATGGGAGAATCACAGATGATTGCCTCTTGAAGCCTGTTTTATGTAAAATCTTCCAATTTTAGATTAGTCGTTCATCCGCGCGGGTTGTAGACAGATGAATGGAAAGTGTCTCTGGACCCATGGGTCTATCCCTGAAGCTTCCCACCCCCGCCTCCCC